TTGCTTGGATCGCCTTCTTTCTCTGGTGATCTTGTCAATTGGTCTTCTTCCTGTGTTTTTTCATGACCACTACCCATTTGAGAATTCTGTTCATCAGGTGATCTATTTACCGCACTTCCAGGATCCGTTAAAACACCTGGTCTATTTGGTCCCAAATCGGGACGAGAATTAAAAGAACCTGGCGGAGGAGGAATCTGCTGCTTGACTGGCTCCACTTGAGAGGAACCAGAAGAACGTTCAGACCCATGTACCCTGGTAACATTTGCTTGTCTCCATCTTCGTCCTCATCTTCATGCAGCAACCAATTTTCATCCTCCTGGGCAGGAATGGCACGACGAACAAGAGAAGGAACACCAATAGTGGAAGTTTTAATAAGGGCATCAGAAGCTTTAGGACTATCAGCCCATACTAACCCACAGGCACAACAGAGTGCAAGAGTTAGTAAACAGAGCAGGTAACACCTCACCATTACAGTCTTTATCATTGTTGTTGTTTACTCCAATAGACAAATTCAAGAAATAGGAACAGAAGAAGGAAATAATAATGATAGAAACACACAAACATACAAGAGTACAACAAATACTCACAGAGGGATAGAGAGCGAAGCAGCAACTGCACAGTAGAGCAACAAAAAGGAATATTCCGCTTGTANGTATACCGTCAGTGAGCAGAACAGCCCAGTTTTCTGCAAACACACACAACGGAAAAAGCAAGTAATGGAATTATTAGAAAAAGAACACACACACACACACAAAAGTAGAAGAAATTCCAATTAGAAGAGAAAGCTGGTAAACAGATTATTAGTTTATTCACCCATGGGGGATGTACGCAATTATGATTATGTTAGTTTAACCATTATTATTATTTGTCCTCAAATGAGTCCCACCGTTCAGTACACGGTAAAGGAGAACAACACAATCACAACAAGTAGCGGTGCAGTAGTGCGCATCCACAAAGTATTGATACTGCTGTCAACATTAGCCTTGTTCTGCACGGTGGTAGTGATGGTGTTAATCTCTGAATTGGGTACATGAGATGGAGTGGTGGTTGGTGCTTCTGTGGTTGTGTTCTCGGGGCTTGGCGGAGTAATGGAATTGGTTTCGTGTGAGTCTGGTACGGCAGTCGCATCACCAGTTGCAGGAGGTTCCTGGTTAGGATTAGAGTTGCCAGCTGTACTGTTACTATCAGATGTGGTGCTCGATGCCTCTTGATTACCCTGTGATGCTGCAGTAGACTCTGGTATTTGGTTTTGTGTGCCGGGAACTCTTCCTGTTTCTGTTTTCTGTCCTTTACCTTCAGCGC